TGTGGCCGATAATAAGGAATTCTTATTGGTTATAGCAATTTTGTAGAATTGAAGAAGCCTTTGATAAATATATACATACTAATTGCTTCATTATTGGTTCATTTGGTACGAATTATAGTAAATACTAATGAATAGTACATTGATTTATTTAATATTGTATTGAACATAAGAGAAAGAGAAAAACGCTACCATATTCATATTTGTATGCTACACTCGGATCGTAAAATCTTCAAGTTATTTGCCCAATGAAAAAATGTGCCACCTGATTTTTTTTTTCTTTAAATGTGAATTTTTACATCACCGATAATTTTATCTTTGGCTTGAAATGGTGTTAGAATATAATGATAATAAAACAAGCTCAGTTATTAAGAATAAAAAACATATTATACACACTGACATGGTTCTTAATATGACATGATTAGAACACTCATGATCCTAGCTTATGCAATTGCACCGACTGGCAAGTGGTTCCTTTCCCACTAATGACTAATGCAATTGCTCAGCATGATCTATGTATTACATTACAATACATCACCAACCCAAGACACCAAAAACATAGTTATAAATTTTGCACCCACACAATTTTTAGGGACGACAAGCGAGAGTTTACAAATCGGACATTCTGGAATCGCCATAAGCGACTTTTATTTATTTACAGAATTCACGAAACAAACGCCAAAACATCAACACACTGAACATGTCTGTCTATCGACTCCATAAAACCTCAGGTTTTCCTGGTTCAAAGGTCTCTCTTCTAGGCACTTCATAAGTCAACCCTCCTTGGTTGCCATGATCAAACTCTGATCCAATGTTCTGTTTCGAGCCTGATTCTCTTTCATCATCTCCCACAACCATGGTTTTGGTTGTCTGTGCTATTTCTGTTATGGTTTCTCCAATAGCATCGATAAAGCCACTTCCTGCTTGACCTTTCTGAACTTGTTCTGAGGCTCTCTCTGCTGGTCTGATCATTGTCTGTCCGATTTCACCTACAGTTTCACCTACTGCTCCTATCACCTCGCTTCCTCCTTGTGCAGCTGCATCTAATGGCTTCTTCATTGTCTGCGCAAAATCTCCCACTGCTTCTTTAGTGGATTGGCATATTGGCCTATAGTTTCGCCAATCCCACCACCTTCCTGAAAGCTTCCAGTGATGTTTTGGACATGCCTCCTCCTTTTTGACCTTGTTCTTGTCCAGATGATGGCCTCCGCTCAGTTTCCTCAAGTGAAACCGTCATAAGAAAGTCTCAGTTTTCAGCAGCGTTATCATAGTACACTTTTCAATAAATCACAGCACATTCACTGGAGATTAAAACTCAACTCTATTCAAGTCAGGGTTGCAAAAATTATTTTCAAGTATGGAACCTAAATAAAAGTTAAAGAACTTAAGCTTTTAACGTCATGTTCTTCATAATCTAAAAAGCAAAATATTAGAAACAAATGCTCATAAATTCCTTCTCTTTTCCCTCAGACTTTGACATGACACTAACTTGTACTCCTTTTCATGGGAAAGGAAAAATCAATTAGAATCTATTTACAAAAAACACAAACAAAAAATACTCTTCAAATATCCTAAAATTAGAACATATTTTCCAACAGAATTTTCAATTCCGAAATGTTTATCACCATTTAGAAACAAGGATTGCATGTGAATCTGGAGCTGTGTGCTCAAGCATGATGCATAATGAATATATGAATTAGAAGCAGAAGGCCTGTTGGCCTAATGCCACCTTAGCCACCCCCAAATGTGAGGGGTGGCAGTTTCGAATGGGGGAAGCTTTCCTTTGGGAGTGTTGTGTGTGAATTAAGCCAATATATATATATATAGATATATGAATTAGAACTGCGATTAAGAGAATAAAAACCTGTGGTTGAGACGCTTTTTTAGTTTCGTAATCCTTCTCTGCCTCCTCCTTCTTCCTCGCAGTATAATCCTTAGCAGTCTCCCCAGCTCTAGCAGCTAACCCTTTGACAGCACCTAATGACTTGGATGCAAGCTCACTGGCCTTATTAGCAGCATACCCCGCCGTTCCCTGAACAATATTCGCCGCCGCTTTTGTCCCTTCCACAGTCTTCTCCGTCGAATAATGCGCCGCCGTCCACCCTGCCACAGTCGCCTTGTCCTTCAGATCAGCCGCCAGTTTTCCAGCATATTCAGCAGCAGTCTTGCCAGTCTCCAGAGTGACATCCTTAGCCCGACCAGCTTTCTCTCCAACATATTGAGTAGTAGTGCTACCTGCAGATTTCGCCTTCTCTGCTGCTTGAGAGGTGTAATCTGCAGCCGTCTGAGTGGCGCTTGAGATGGTGTCTTTTGCAGAAGCATAACCTTGTTGGCCTTTCTCTAATGTCACGTCCTTAGCTTGAGCAGCCTTCTTTGCTGCTTGAGAGGTGTAATCTGAAGCCGTCTGAGTGGCGCTTGAGATGGTATCTTTTGCAGTAGCATAGCCTTGTTGGCCTTTCTCTAGTGTGTAGTCTTTGGCTTGAGCAGCTTTTTCCATTGCTATGTCCTTGGCCTGTGCAGCTTTCTCCTGAGTTGTTTGGGTTGTAGAACCGACTGTCTCATTAGCTGCCTGCTTTGCTCTTTCATACCGCTCCTGTGCTGCTCTCATAGCTTCCATTGTGTTCTCTTGGACTTGGCCTCTGTATTTGGAAATGTCTTCCAAGGTAGATTGTGATTCTTTCTCCTGATCACCACCTCTTCCTCTGTTTTCTTCTCGTCTTGCTCTCTCTGTCGCTGATTCTAATCCTCTTGCGTCCCTTCCATCTTCTTCCTTCTCGCCTCCTTCGAATGTGCACGTTATAACAGCAGTAGGACCTTGAGTTTCAACTCCAACCCTGCCTTTAACTTCTCCTCCGCTCTCTGTGCCTCTCGTCCCCAGTTTCTCTTCTCTGATTCTAGCCTCCCCCTGTTTTCCCAGCTTCTTCCCTCTTCTGCTTCAACCTGCCCTTTGTTCCCTCTTCTTCCTTTCTCCGCTTCAACTTGCCCTCTGTTTTCTCTTGCCTGTTTCTCCACACCGCTTTGCGTTGGTCCGCCCGTATTCACTACTCTGGATCGACTCTCGGGTTCAGATTGATCTCTCCCTCTAGCTCCTCCAGCCGAGCCCTTGTTCGCTTCAGCTTTCCCTTCGAACTGGCCCACATTTGAAAAGGGCGCGGTATTCCCGACTTTAGCGGCATAAGACTCTTTCTTCTCCCCCTTTTCTCCCTTCACCTTATCAGCAAGAGATTCGAAATGAGGCCCCAATTCATGAGTCTCCCTGGCTTTCCCAGTCCCGCCAATATCCCCAATGGCTCTCCCGCCATGCTCCTTCCTGTACTCCCCACCCTGTAACTCCTGAATACTCCCTTGCGGGGTATCCGATCCTTCCTTGACCTGTTCAGCGAGATGCTCGAAGTGGGTGGTCATCTTGGGGACTCGATCCTTCTCAATGTGAACCTCCCTCTCGGTAGTCGTGTTCTCCCTGCGAGACACCTGTTCCGACGCCATTGTTTTGTCGTCAACTTCTTCTGTACAAGCGATCGCTTTATGTTCGATGATATGCTTGTCCGAGATGAGACACACAGAGAAACCGGAATGAGCGGGATATAAAAGGGGAAGTGAGCATGGCGGTCGGGAAGGAGGTGGCTGGTGGATGGGTATGCATGAGAGAGGACATGTGGGGGGAGAGGTGGCGCTGGTGCCACGTGGATGGGGGTGGTGATACCATTTGGGTGACTCAGCTTTGAATTCGCAGAGAGCAAAGAGGCGAAGATGAGGATCAATATGGCAATGTTCGAAGGCTTCGTGAAGAAGACACGTGGAAGCTTTGAACGAGTAACGAATGACTCGTTCAAAGCTTTGAACGAGGGGGCGAGGGGAGAGACATCTGGCCTCTGTTTTCTGGGTTTACATAAAATTGGTGGCCTATCCAAAAATTGGATTTGATTCTCGAGTTGTGGAACTCACAGCACGTTTATAGTATAATTTTGAATATCAGACCAAAAAAAAATTTTGAATAACTTTGACTTAAATCTGATTTTAAAATGTTTTTAAAAAGATATTTATGTTTAGGCTTGAGTTCTGTAAGTTGTTATAATTATAGGAATAACCCAAATTATCAGTTACAGACCCTGAACCAATCAACTTTAGTTTAGTGTTAATCGGTCTCGGTTTAAAAAATCGATTTCATATGCAATTTAGAATCAATTTATTAAATTAAGCAAAAATATTGCCCTTTCAATATCTTAAGTAATTTATTTTAATTTCTGTTTCAATTTAATGCATTGATTTTAAACTTTGGTCATATCTATTCTTTTCAATATATTCATTAAAGACGATTTTACAACAATTTAGACCACCTTAGGACTAGAAAGAAGTCATAGAACTAAAGTAAAACAATAAATACATTTGAATTATGAGTATATAAAAGTGAAAAATTGTATCATTTACAAGTCTTAAGCACTACTTTGACTTTTATTCACACTTCAACTCAGTCTTGCAATATAAACTAGTAGTTTTAGACTGTGTTAGAATTTGAATTGAAAAATATTGATTATAAAACAATGATTAACAGAACGTGATGATATTTAGATAATATTTTTAAAATTGGTTTTAATAAAATTAAAGATATTTGGATAATTTTTTAATACTAATTTGAATATATAAATTACAGGCATTCATTTTATCGTATATATTATATTGAAAAAATTAATCTATGTGAAAAAAACAAATCAATCTGTCTAATTTGGGATAAAATTCAAAAAAAATAAAAGGATCAGACTTTTATATATGATAAATAATAAAAAATGGATTGGGTCATTACTTGCATTGGGTAGGAAAAAAATAATAAAAAAAATGCAAAGAAACTCTCTCTCTCACACTCCGTGTTCGGCCAGTAATATTCCCGTCTTCTTTCGCCTATCACACTATGGTCAGCACAGCACCCATCGGAACCGATAGAGCGACAAGGAAGGAGAATGAGGAAAACGAGTAGAGGAATGAGGAAGTAGATCGAGAGGAGGAAGCTCTCAAGATTGGAGGTGAAGAAGACACTCACGCAAGGGGTAGGAATGAGATCTTAAGGGAACAATTACAAATAATACTCATAATTTATTGGGAAGACCAACCAACCTATAATTTACAGTGTGCCAACTAGTTTTGAAAGCATAGTCATTTTTTAGGGAACAATTACAGATAATACCCGCTCACTTTCACATTTATATTTATTCCGACTTTAAACACACACATCCTCCTTATTACAGTAGGAGCGTTGGTGCTATATATAGCACATGGGCCACTGGCATTTATTTGAAAGCAGAGTCGATTTGAGGTAGTCATTGATGACCATAGAGAATGTTAATGATTGGGTAATAATGAAGGCAAGTTTGTGCCAAAAAATAATCAAACTTTACAACTTTGGAGCATAACACCAATCCCTTGCTGGGGTTATTGCTCCCACTTACGTAAGCAAATTAAAAACCCCCCAAAGCAAAAGGAAAAAAGAAAAATCAGGAAAGAGGAAACCAGTTAGGAAAAATCAAGAAAAGAGAGCAGCATGGAGAAGGAGATTCCAGGTATCAGGGAGGCCAGGGAGGCACCAGTGACTGCAATCAGCAGCCATAATGTTACTGTAAGCCTCAGGGTGAGCATCTTTCCTGTACTGAGAAAGCGTCGTAACGTCCAAAAAATAGACAGGCTTCTTGATCCTGCTCAACACTTTGTTCACCACCACCCACGCCATTGGTGTCCCTGCTGGGTATTTGGCCCCGAAATACGGCTGTGTCTCCTTCGTGCATGACCTCTCTGGTTCATTCCAGTCTCTCCCCCTGTATACATCCACCCCTCAATGTTCTACCTCATTTGCATTCCTCCTTCTACTCTAAATTCTTATATTTAGTTCAACATATAAGACATTTCGTACTTTTTGAAATTATATTTCCAACTTTACCCTTGTATTAATTAATCTAGTCACAAGAAATATATTCCCTCCGTTCAATATTACAAGGCATTTTTAACCTCATTACAATTCTAATAAATTAGTCAATTGAATTTAAAATTACACGATCTTTTATGTATGTCTTAATTTAACAGGGTGCTTCAATTCAAAAAAACTTATTAATTACACACCTTAATCAAGGATGTTTTTGAAAAGAAAAAAAATTGATCAACTACTCCTTGAAAAACCCAAAATATAATGCCTTATATTTTTAAACATGATACTTAAAAAATGCCTTATAATACTGTACAGATAGAGTACAATGTTCTAACAAACACTTTATAATCAAAGGGTGTAAGGTGGAAAAAGGAATGCCATTTTATCATGGAAGTAATAAAATAACTACTTTTATTAACCCTAAACCCTAATTAGTGAAATCTAATTGAAAGTGTTCTACAATTAAAACGTAACGAAGTGGTCTCATAATGTAGATGAATGATGAAGAGTGGAGAAGGAAGAACTCACTCATAATGTACAGGAGAAATGCCCAAGAAGAAGACCTTGGTGTTGGCAGGATCCACATTGAGGTTGACCCACCTGGCCCAAGTGGTTAGCCCTTTGTAGAAGGCGATGAAACGGTTCATGTCCTTGTACAGCTTCTTATCTGCCTCCATATATTCCCACCTGCATGCTTCCATACAGTGTTTGTCAACAACACTGACAAATGCATTAACCCAACGGTCAAGCTTTCTTTTTCACGGAGATCTTTATCATTATTAATGTAAGCATCATGAGTAATCACGAGACATAAAGTGAAGAAAAGTTAGAATGATCGTACGGCTGTGAGGTCTCAGTGTGGGTCCACCAGTGCCACGTGTTGAAGACCAGCACGTCCATTCCTCTCCAAGCATCACCGCTCTTAATGGAATCAAGTTTCAACACTCGTCCCACGCTCTCATGATCCACATCCACCAAATACGCCGTCCGGTACAAATTCAGCTCCAGCCCATACTCCTGATCACACATTATTCATGCCCCCATCATTTCTCACTTCACTAGTATTCTTCTTCTTATTCTTTATGCAATCAAATTAAACACTCCTCTCGGGTTCGAACATAGGATCTCTTTTAAACTAGGGATGCTATTGCTGGGACAACTTATGTTGACTATTATATTTCTTCCTATTATCATTGTCGTTATTTTTTCGGTGGATACTTCCATATTAATATATTACCATTAATTATGCCATGCTATTTCCCCAATTATCCTCTATTTTTCACTTTTTCATGAGGTAAATCCAGGTTCGCGTACTATGATTCACTGTGGTAAATTATTTTGGGGGGGGGGGTTGTTAAATATTCATTGTCCATTTATGATCTAGCTGGACTCCTACACAGTAATTCCTAGCGACAAGGGAGGACTGTATGTCCAACGTCAATCATTGCTAATTTTGACATTAATTTCCCCAAGTTTCCATTTCAAGCAACTGGATTCTGGCCAGATATCTATCACAACAAAATCAAGAGATCGAAACTTTCTTATGAAAAAAAAAACTATATAATCAAAAAAGAACCTTCTCACACAACTGAGCCTTATGTCTAGCGGTGACAATCAATATCAAAAAACTAATAAATCACCAGTATAAAATATAAAATATGTACTGAATTATATTATATGCCTAAGTTATGTTGCCTTGGACTTAGCTCTCAAGTATAGATCAATTTGCAACAACAACTATTTTTTAAGTACTTATTACAATTTTATTTATAAGTCACTTCTAACATATTTAATTAGAATTATATAAAATTTTAAAGTTTTTAAAATTTAACTAAAAATTTAACAAATTTTTAAGTTTATCTATGTTAAATATACATAATTTAATAATGTAACTCCTATCACCAGCATTTAATGGAAGTATGAGAAAAAATTTATAATAAAAAATTAATAATATGATTAATAAGACTGAAAAAAAATTTCTCTTGGAAAATAATAATGGGCACGTTGGAATTTGGTGGCTGAGGTGAGAGATTAATTAAATTACGCAAGGCCTAAGACACAATCATTAATGATGCATTGCTATTAAAATCAGACATGTTCCCTGAAAAAGGAAAAGCATCCCACCAATCACGTCCTAACATTATTGCTCTCCCTTCAGTGCTCCTCACAGTCACAGACAAAAGTATGCTCGCCGCGAAGTACTATCAAGATCGGATTTAGGCTTAACAATCAAAATATGATGAAAGTCCGATCCCACTTTAGGTGATTGCAAGAGCTTGAAAAGACGAGAAAACGGAAGAAAATGAGAGAAAAGGAAAGAAAATGCGAGTGATCAAATTACCCACCTCAAAGGTCACTGAGGTAAGAGCGTTCCTACTCTTGTTGAACGTGGTCCTTGAGTTTGGCACCCAAGCGTGAATCATACAAGCCAGCGAGTTGAATTGGTTCAAACTCAGTGAGTCACCGACAAACATTATCTTCTTCCCTCTGTATTTCTCCAGAAAATTCAAAGCATTGAATCTGCACACACACCCCAAATAAATCCCTCCTACTTACCTAATATTTACACAAATAAGCTGCTATAATACGTTCAGGCGAAAAAAAAGGAGGGGTATCTATACTGCCTATACACATGTTTCGAATTATTGCATGTGCATATGTTTTGAAATGTAAAGGAGATAAATTGATTGTCGTTAAAAAGCACGACTCTATATAGTAAAACACAAGGGAGAGATAACAAGAAAAACAATAAAGTGTCAAGACAGGACAAGGATCCTATGATAAT